CCCTGTGACTGAAACCGAAGGGGATGTCCAGAACAGAGATTGGGAAGCTGACCGTCGTCGGGAACCCTTCATCTACTTCGAGATTTGACTAGCTGAGCTTGTGCTTGAGGAGATGGGAGGGTGTTACAAGCACGGAGAACCAGGCCGCAGAGTCTTGCTTCAGCTATGGGCACTGTGCATACATGTGCAGATTTGGCGAGCGGTTGGCACGCCCGTTGCCAGGGTCAATGACGTGCGGATCCCACGCGCACTCGATGTAAGGAGTATGTAGGTACGATACCTCTGTGCTCAGGGAGGTTAACTAAGTTAAAGCTACATCATTGTAGACGGCCTAGTCGTAGTTTTGGTTGGAAGGGAGTTTTGTCATGGTTGTAGGTCGATATGAGATTTGAAACTTGGTGATTGTGATTCTCATTTCTGCTGTCTTGGTGCCAAGAAAGAGCATATTTAGCTGGGATGTTTACAATGCTTGGCAAGCTGGTGCCATATTTCAGCCGCTGCTTGCATTTACGGTTGTATGTGCAGAGTACTCTGTACGGAGTAGTTGAATTCCAAATTCTTAGAAACTGAGCTGAAAGCCTATGGATATACTGGCATTGGTGCATCGGTACCTACCACAAATAATCTCTTGGTTTCTCTTCTCCAGAGCCTAGTTAACACTCACAGGACAGGGCTCATCTCAGCCTGCCACTCCTCCAGGGTAGTTAATGAACATTTGGAAATAGCTTCTAACTATTTGCCGCACTGCACACCCGCCTCACGACGTTCCTTTCGCTCTGGTGTAACGTCACCTTGGAAAGTGCCAAAAGGAAATTCATTAGCGAGTGACATACCCGAAGCGTATTGCTCTCGGCGTTACCTTCTTCGATGAATGCGCACCGGATGCCACATCACTGACTGCTCTTGGGATCGGGAAGCATGTTCACCTCTCCCAGCTAGGGTGACGAAGTCCCTCTGTTTGTTTGATTGATCAATGATGGGTCCCATGTCTTGGCCTTTTTCTTTCTCCCTTCCTTTTTTTTTCCTTTTTCCTTTTTTCTTTTTTGCGTGGTATGTATGATGGGTGGATGACGAGTCGGGAAAAGGGGGGGGAGATTAAGGAAGTGTGCATCTGACGCACGGAGTGTGGTTGTCAACTTATGCTTAATTTAACCTTATCTAGACGATTTGGTTTATCGGGCACAGGCCCCGCTGAGAGGAGAACACCTCCACCTCCACCTCCGATGTAGCGGGGTGGGATGTGATATAAGGTCTTTGACAACGCTAGAAATCCAACTGGAAAAGCTGAATTAGGCCAGTGGTTCATAATGATGATTGGTACGGAAGCACATATGTTATAAAACCTAGCACCAGCAACAAACTTACTTCCCTCAACTTTGGTTGGCGCGGTGGTCCGTCACTGAACGGCCGCGCATCTGGGACAAAAAATAAAATAATAAGCTACATAGCTAAAAATAAACTTGATTAAATTCCCTCCCAAGTGTTACAGGTCAACGACTCACTGGCTGTTCCTATCTCGCCAGTGGTAAGTACCTGTGCCTCGTTCAAGAAATGGATGATAAAATGGTCTGCATCCAAAGCTTCAGCAGGAGTGAAAAAGGATATGTAAACTATCGCACCAAAAGGATTGATCCTGAAAGTGGCGGAGTAACCACCGTACCAGCAGCTTAGGATAGGGTACTATGTTGAACAATAGGTTTAAAGGGGAGGGATAAATAAAACAGAAAGGAGCAGGGGCGGCCGTTCCTGCTTCAGAACTGCTAACATTTCCTTACTCACCATAGATTCTTGATCTCAACGCTTCAACCTGATGTTAATAATAATCTATTAATAGCGCTCTCAAAAGTAATGTCTCAGACTAAGAATTTAAGCTGTAATACTGTTACCATTCTGAAGCTCAGACATCTGGAGATTTAGGCTATCTTTAGTTGAGCTTTTTTAGTATTATGCTGTCACAGACGCTAACTCCCCTAACCGTGCCATGCTTACTCACTCTCTGTAGTGAGTGCGCCACAGCGTACGGAAAACCACACTGTAAAGAAAATATTTTGAATATAGTAATCTTCAAAAATTAATTAATAATCACCACCACATCTATCTATAACATAAAGATTATCTATATACTCATTAGAAGGTGTAGAATCCACTGTAAGTTGAGATTCTATAGAATTATCTTGTTGTGGTTGAGTGGCTGTAGATTTTGTAGGTTTGATTCCAATTGATTGAAGAGTCTTATTGAACATCTTTTTCATCTCATCTGCTCTACGGGTCGCGATCTTGCGATTGGCATTCTTAATAGTGAGGACTCCACCTACTTGCACCTGCCTGCGGGAGGATTTGACAACCTGATGTCTATTTGCTTGATAATGATCTGCAAGTTCACCCTCACGGTGCGTGTTCAATTCTGCCTGGACCATGCTACCCTTGAAGATCTTGTTCAACCGCCTTGTCAAACCAGGTGTAAGGGTATCCTTCACATCTTCTAAGGCCTTGGCTGCTGCATTGATTTGGTGACGTAGTTTTGCAACTGTCTCTGAGGAGGTTAATTGCGAGGAGGCAGTTGACAGTCAATCTGCAGGTGGCGGGGTAAAGTGATCGCATACATCACCATCACCATTGTATATGTTGAGATCCGGGGCATCATCAATGGTAAGAGGTCTCAATCAATTGAGAATTATATCGTGATTAACTGGATACATTCCACAGTTGGCAAAGCCAGCTCTCACAGTGCCAGGTTTGAATGCTTGCAGTCAGATGCTCTCCAGATTAGCAAGGAATTGTCTGCCATCATACTGCTCATATCTGTAGCGGGCAGCCTCATTAACTGCCTTTGTATGATAATGCTTATACTGCTGAAAAGGTACGCCATCAAGAGGTTGTAGAATATGACTTGTATGAGATGGGAATCCAAACAGAATAATCTTATGGAGGTCGCAGTATTGGATGAATTCTTCTGTGAGATGAGAATCATGATTATCCATTAATAGCAGTCGATGACTGCCCATTTGACGCTTTTTTGTCATCTTATTGAACCGCTTGATCCATTCAAATCCAATCTCATCATTTGTAAAGCCAGACTCAGATGCGGTGATGGCGTAGTTGTCAGGTAAGTTGAAGTGTGTATACCAATTCTCTAGATGGACCTTTGATTTCATTATAATCAATGGATCCAATACTGTGCCATCTGCACTGACACACTCCACCACTGTTATTAACCCGCGGGAGTATGATGACTGTATGATGGAATTCATGTCTTTAAAGGCAGTTATAACCCACTGTCCGCGTCCTTCTCCTTCTTGAAATCCAATCTCATCAAAGTTGTAGATATCGCAGTGAAAAAATTGATATTGATTGAAGACAGCTTCATATCAATCAAATCAGTTGATAATGAAGCTTATATCCTCGCAAGACACTCATTTTGAATTCATGGGTTTTTGCTTGACTCATTTGTAATCTGGCAGGTGTTTGATGAATCGATATGTCCACATCTTGCTTACTGTGGGAGGTGCAGTCTCTGAATCTGTATAATGCTGTCTCAACATGCAGTTCGCGGCAGCTTCGATATGCTTGATGATGGGTGGGCAAAAATTAATGTCCAATTGATGAATCCATATCTTAATTGCCTCTTCCTGACTGTCATTCAATGCTCGATTCAGTGAAACCCTCATAGTCCTTGATTTCTTCCCATTGATCCTCCCATACAAGGTGGCATATGGGACTTTGAATTCTCGCGACAGAGACATGATTTTTAATTTTGAATTGCTTTTGTACGCATCAACAGCTCTTTGCAACTGCTCCTTGATGTAATTAGAAGATTTAGGCATGGTTATAATTAATGATGATTATTTGAAGATGAAGAATGAAGATATTGAAAATATTTTCTTTACAGTGTGGTTTTCCGTACGCTGTGGCGCACTCACTACAGAGAGTGAGTAAGCATGGCACGGTTAGAACCCAGCTGCTAACTCTTGTTAAGATATGGAATGGAAATACTTTATGCCGGGAACAGAATTAGTTACAGCTTAAATTCTTACGCAGGACATTACTTTTGAGAGCATCGTCCGAGTTATTAATCACAGCTTTCCCCGCATGTAAGGCCAGGCCAGGTCAAGGGCCAGGCCAGGCCGAAATGGAGACAAATATATGGACCTTGGGCAAGTGGCCAAAGATTAATAATAATTAAATCGTTAGTTAACTACGGAGTAGTTAACTATTATTATTGTCATGAAGTTCATAACTAGACATTATTGTAATTCATTACCATTCCATTACCACCATTATCATTATCATTATCATTATTTTTGAAAGTTATAAGCGATCGAGCCATAACATTGTTGGAATGTGAATGTACACCTTTGTACTACTTATTTTTTTCCCCTGTTTTCTCCTAATTGCGACCTAGTTTATTTTTATTGGCCCTGTATTGGCTGAGGGCCCCGAGGTGGTCCAGCCAGTGGAAGAGTAAGTTATTTATTATTATTATTAGTTACTTTGACGCACTATATTTCTGGACGGGCCTCGGGAATTCAGCTGGGGCTTGTTCTGCTTCGGATGCGAGAGACAGAATAACCATCCATGTTGGATGCTACAGAAAAGGATTGTGTGCCTTAATTTTTGGGGAGATACTTGTGTGTTTTGAATTGCTATCCCGCTGTGAAGCTGCAATCATTTATTTAAATAATACATCTCCGGGCGGGCGCGGCGGCTGTGTGTGTAATAATATTCATGCGCATTAGGTTAAATATTTACTATTTTGCTAGAAATCGCTCCTTCAATCATATGCACAGACGTACTCTATAGATATTATTATTATATTATTTATTATTATTATTGCTGGTTTTTTTTTTTTTTTTTTTTTTTTTTTTTTTTTTTTTTTTTTTTTTTTCTCCCAAGGTTGGTCTGACGACACGACGAGCCCACATGAAAATTCACAACACCGAGTATAAATTTAAAAAGTCAATAGATAACTACGCAGTAGATAGTTAAGAGTCAGAAGTGGTACATAGATGTCTGTCTGCTTCTCTCCTCCTGGATAAATAAATAAGAGTAATTGATTCTTGCTCGTATATCCGCCCGCGTGAATATCCGGATATAACCCTGAGCAGTTGCATTGCCGTAAATAATAATATTATTATTTAATCTTGCTGTTGATGTTGATGTTGATGTTGAATTGTTGTGACTTCCCTTGCTGTTTGCTGTTTGTTCCCTATCGGCTCACTCGCTACCTTTTTTTCTTCTCTTCTTTTTCCTCCTCCATCCGAACCATCGACAACCACGACCTCAAACTAAACTCCCGGCTCCCTCGCGCCACAGCTCCTATCCTCACCGCATTCTCGTTCTCGCAGCTGCATCTTCTGACACTCTCCCCTCTTGCCGTTGCTTCTGCTGTCTCCCTCCCCCCGTATCCGTCGTCCCATCTTCAGCCTCTCTTCCATCCCCGCATAACCTCCCTCAACTTCCCCGCCCTCGCCCTGCTCTCGTTCTACACCTTCTACCCGGTCTCTTTTTCTGAGCAAATCTACCCCTCTATCCCTCTCCTCCTCCTCTTCATTCGCCGTACCGTCCGTCCGCATCTTCATTGACGCTGCCCTATGTCTATCAATGCGCTGCCAGCCCATCCGTGCTCCCCCGCCCTCCGCCACGTCCTGTGCGAATCTCAATTCACATTCCCATTACCACGACGGGTTATCCGTCACTAGCTATCATCATCATCATTATCATTTTACCTCTCATTGTCATTGACAACTGACATCGATATCGACGTCGGGATCGCAATCGCAAACAATCGCCCATTGTCCTAGCAGTACCTCCACCTCCCACAGTGCGCACACTCCACTGCATTATTGTCTCGAGCTCACGTTTGTGCTCCTCAGGTTGCACACTGCGGCGTTGTTCCATGGTTCCCTTTCTGTAATGCGGCCTCGTCATATTTTTTGCTTCTTTTTTATTCAGCCATCAACCACGCTTTCCACGCTCGCATTCGCTTAATCGGCGGCGGCCTTTCTCTTGTCGTGCAGCCTTGTCCCTCGGTTTCGAGCTTATACCGCGCCTCTCGATTGGTCCCTGCTCTGCCAGCTTGACCTCTTCCCCTCTCGTCGGCTGCCATCTCTCGCCCTCCGTTCCAAAGTTACTGTGCTGAACTCGGGCTGCTCGACGCTGTCGCACCGCAGCAATCCGCCAGTCAGACCTCTTAACGCCCCTGGCTGCGGTCGCGTGATTCTACTTCGGCCGCGCCCTCACTTGCTGAAGCATACCTCGCAGCTGCCGTGCTACCACACTCGAACTGCTCGCGCGTGTTGGTCTTATATCAGCCCGTCAAAATATCTTACATAGCCTCTTGGAATCTCGTTCCAGTGTTGTGGTTCCGTGTGTCGCAGTGGGAATTTTTATTTCAATCTAATTCTCATTGACAAATTGAGAAAGAGAAATAGGCAAAAACATGTTAAAAAAGGCAAAAAACTAAGAACAAAATAGGAAAAAGGAAGTGAAAAAAGGAAAAAAGAAATTAAAAAAAGCAAAACGAAGGGCTGTATTTAGATTCAGGCGCAAGATACGCACCGGCTACTTGCAGAAATCAAGAAGAAGCCCACCCAGACAAACGTGGGCATCGCATCGATCGACAGGAAGCACAGGCGAAGGAGAGACTAACCCGCACAGCCAACCCCCCTTCCACCGACCTGCCATTTCCTAGCAGGTAAATACCGTTTATAAATATATATATCTCTAGATCTATATATTATGACGGCCAGCACCAGAAATGGATCGCCGTCCCCGTCACCGGCTGCTCCTACAGCTACGGAACAAGAATCCAAAAGTATGACTACGACCCCCGCCAACCCGCCAGAGACGAAATCCCAAACAAACGGGAAAGGAAGTGGCACCGCTCAAAGTAGCCAAAAACCCGCCTCGACATCCGCCAATGCTAAGGACCCTCTCCGCCCAAGGAGGAAGAAGGCTAAAAGAGCTTGTTTTGCTTGTCAGAGGGCCCATCTGACCTGCGGTATGCTGATCTGTTTATCTCACCTTTGATTTGTTTCCCCCTTTTTCCCGTTTAACATCGCTTTCCCTTTTACCCTCTCCTCACTCCTACCTCTGTATACTACCGTGCGCTTTGTCCACATCTTAATGTTTTATCCATCCCATCCCGCTCCGCTGCCTATCGCACCATGAGGTAAATCCTAGTACACTTGGTTGAAACCACCGTCTACACCCAACTGTGCACATACGCGCAGCCAATTTTTAATTAGCCACTCTAACATTGTTCACCTATTCCTAGAGAATTGTGGAAACTAACAACCCCAATTGATTTACAGGCGATGAGAGACCTTGCCAACGATGTATCAAGCGCGGGCTCCAAGATGCTTGCCATGACGGGGTACGGAAAAAAGCCAAGTATCTACACGATGCGCCGAACGAAGCTCTCCTGCCCGGCATCCGAGGAAATTATTACAATCAGGCGAATACAACGAGAAATATCCCCAACCAACGGGGAAATGCCTCCAATTCAAACTCGAACAAAGTCTCACGCCAAAGCGTCTCCTCCGCCAATTTCTACACACCCCAGGCCGCCAGGAGCTACAATGTCTACGTCCAAGCCAAGTCTCAACAAAGTCATGTACGCCCTGCAGTGATGCAGGACGCTTCGATGAATCCCAGTGTTTTCCATGCTCAATCGCCCTCATCGACACAGAATTTCGACCTGTCCTCGAATCCGCAAACTCAGAATCTCTCCTCAGCCATGTCTCAAACCGCGTCGTCTGTGTCTGGCCAGAATCAAGATCCCTTTGGTGCCGCATTTTTTGACCCCAGTCATCCAGCGCTGTTCAATTTCGATATAGCCAGCATGAATTTCGGCAATCGATATGGCGCTTTGGAATTCGGGATGCTAGGGCACATGGCTACAGGAGCAGGAGACACTCCACCCAGTGATTCAGCCACACAGCGTGGGTCCATTGGGCGGAGTTCTGGTACATTTACTGCTCAAAACTTTGGAGATAGCGCCAACAACCAATCGCCCTTCCTGTTTGGTGATCCAGTACTCAATGACTGGAACCCAACGGGCCAAGGCCAGGCAAATCCGCGTAATATCTACAATCAGAACGCGGTCGCTGGCCAGATGGGTGAGCAGAACCCTCACGCTTTCGCTATCGAGAGCGCTCCGATGAATTTTGCCAGCCCGAGCTCGACAGAAAGCCCCCAGATGACGACCACAACACCATTTGACGAAGCCAACGCCAACTTCTCCTCCCGAACAAACCTCATGCATCCAACAAACACTCCGCAACAATCCCGCATATCAACTCCGGGCCTCAAACATCAAGGCTTACACGTAGGCGTGAAGAGGCGATACCGTAGCCCTTCATCAATATACGAGAGCGTCAAGGAGCCATATTCATATACAAGCGGCTTCCACAGTCTCACGGCATTTATTCAACGGCGCTTCTCCCCCCAAAAGACCCTTCAGATCGCCAAAGCGCTCGCCTCGATCCGACCCTCCTTCATCGCCACAACCAAAACCCTCAACCAAGACGACCTCATATTCATGGAGAAATGCTTCCAACGAACGCTGTGGGAATACGAAGACTTCATCAACGCCTGCGGTACGCCGACCATTGTCTGTCGCCGGACGGGTGAAATCGCCGCCGTGGGTAAGGAGTTCAGCATCCTTACCGGCTGGAAGAAGGAGGTCTTGCTGGGCAAGGAACCGAACCTAAATGTCAACACGGGCTCCTCGTTATCATCAGCGTCATCGGTAAGAGGTAGCAGCACATTTACCCCTCGAAACAATAACACCCATAATAGCATAGATCCTCACACAGGCATGCCCACCGTAGGCGGGGGTGGTGCAAGTGGACGTACGCAACCTGTCTTCCTCGCGGAGTTACTCGACGACGACAGCGTGATTGAGTTCTACGAGGATTTCGCGAAACTTGCCTTTGGCGATTCGCGCGGGAGCGTGATGACGACGTGCAAGTTGCTGAAGTATAAGACGAAGGAGGATAGTGCGGCACTGTTTCATGGGAAGGAGGAGACCCAGCAGGGTGGAGTGGATGGGAGCAGTGGTACCGGTACTACTACTAGTGGTGATGTCGCGACAACGACAGCAACAGGCACGTCGACAAGCAACGGCGCCAATGCCAACACCAATGGGAACAATACTAATCCCAACGATCCATCCTCCGCCGCTTCATCGTCAGCGTCATCGGCGTTGCAGGGCCCGCAGCAATCACCTAGGCAAACGTGGGGGAAGAGGGGCATTGCCGGCGAAGCGGGGATGAATCAGCTAGGATTCCGTGATGGAAAGGTGGAGTGCAGTTACTGCTGGACGGTAAAGAGAGATGTATTTGATATACCCATGCTTATTGTTATGAATGTAAGTATCATGCGTTTTTTTTTACTTTGCCTTGTTTGAGATTGAATTATTTTAGTCCCCGCGTCCGGCGGTGTTTTTATTTTTATTTTTATTTTTATTTTTTCGTTTTATTTTGAAACTAACGTTTTGAATCCTGGTATATAGTTCCTACCCTGCATTTAATCAACCAAGGCGCGAACGTCGGTCACATCAGTTTTAGCAATTAAATCACTTTCTTGTTCTGGCTCTGGCTGAGGGGTCAAAAAAGCAAGGGATGAAAAGTTTGGTATTGGAAAAAAGATTTGGGGTAGTTTGTCATTATTGGGCCTTGGGATTTTGTTGTTTACTTGGTGACATGTTTTTTTCTTTCCTTACCTTCTTATGGAAGAAGTGAATGAGCTAGAATAAGGATTTTGATGTTTGATGAATGTTGCATGTATATATATCCCCAAATTCAGTATGGCTATGTTCGCAGGCATATCTGTTGATCAGTATGCTGATGATGTATTTTCATGGACATGATAGCAATGAATGATTCGAGTGAGATTGTTGAATGATGATGAAGTGAATGCAATTTTTATTTATTTATTTATTTATTTATTTATTTATTTTTGTTTTTCAAACAGCAGTAAGTGATGATTAGAAATATGGGGTTGAGGCTACTAAGCTGATTACGAAGAAAACAGGAAAAGAAAGAAACTAGAATAGATGAGTCTTGTCAATCAAGTCTATAGTTATATGTGCATGTAATGTTCTAGGTATGGTATCTATAGACTATCTACTTCATCTATCTATTTGCGGCTGTTAAAACAATCACTATCAACAATGGAAGAAAATAATAATAATAAAAAAAAACATCTTGAAGGAGAAATTGATCAAGGTATAAAGAATCAGGGCAAGAGCACAAAAACTGACATTCAAAGAAAGTCATCACTGCACACAATACACTTCAACATTCCCTCCTCCCTCCCCTTTCTACATTCCTCAAACTAAAACCCCCTCAACCAACCCCTCGCCTCCCTAACCCCCTTCGCTACACCACCACCATCACTGTCCCCTTCTCCACCAACAGCATCACCCTCCACATAACATAAATACCCCGGCCTCTCCAAACTCCTCTTCGCCACCTCGCAATCAATTCGGATATCCTCTACTAGCGCCTCGAGGCTGACATAGTCGTATTCTGGCCGGATGTAGCCCAGCACGAGCAGGTTTAGGCGCGTGCCGTAAAAATCGGGAATGCGGAAGAAGCGGTTTGGCTGGTCTGTGGAATTTGGCGATGGCGAAGATGGGGTGGTGCGGTGGGTGAATTGGGGGAGGAGGTGGATTTCCTGTGTGGAGCGGTGGGTGAGGTTAGATGGGAGAGGTTGTTGGCTTTTTGGTTGAATTTTTTTTTTAAAAAAAAAAAAAAATCATATTTTTGCCTTTTCTTATTTATTGCCCTTCTTTCTTTTCTTGTAGTAACATAGAGAGATGGGATGGTCGTGAGGGAGCCAGGAGTATCCAGGTGATGAAAACCAGAAAAGAGATATATAGATACATACCACAGACCGAACTGTATTCTTATAGAAGGGGTTGTACCCTATGCTCAGAACGCAGGGGAAGATATTTTGATTTTGATTTTCATTTTCAGAATTGGATTCTGTCGCTTGTGTCACGGCGGCACCGTTTGGTTGAATATTTTCGTCACTTCCCGCCTTATATTTGAATTTGGATGGGTCGAGCGCGGCGACGCCATAGTATACGCCCGACTCTACGTCTCCATAAGGGGAGAGGGAGTCTGGGGGGATGTTGGCGGTAGGAATGCCGAGCTAGTTAAGTCTTTTAGTATGTGATTATTCAATGGCGTAGCAGAGGGGAACCTTGGGGGGGGGGACGGCTGGCGTGTTGGGCTTGATATTCCCCGTGCTTTACATGCGAAGACAATCTTCATGTAGCCATTTGTTTGTACAAAAGAAACTCCAAAATGGTATAAAGTGTCCATATAGCGGTATAGAAAGTGCATATAAGAAATATGCATCGACTATAAGGACTCATGTGCATCCTTAAAAGAGGCAGATCCCCGCCAATTCCTCACTGGGCATCAGGGTAATATAAAATTGCTAGCCCATCAACAGGGCCACGACAAGGCAGCGAGCAGGGCCACGAATCAGATCAAACATGCATTTGAAGTTACTTCAAAAAAAAAAAAAAAAAAAAAAAAAAAAAAAAAAAAAAAAAAAAAAAAAACATACCTCCTTACTCCCCCTCCCAAAGCCCTTGATGACTGGGCCGGAGAGTTTCATAGGATACGGCGCAGGAGGGCCGGAGTCGGGTCCTGCAACTGGATCCCTCGGACCAGCTGGACGCATATCTTTTGCCTTTTCCTAGCGATTTGGTTTAAATGTTTTTAAATGTTGTTACTGAGCTGAGGTATATGTATGCGCTATGTTTTGCTGTTTAGACCCAAGCATGCGGCGCACAGTAGCTGGGCGGAGCTAGGAGAGGGGGTGGAAACAATTCGTGGGGGAGAGCCGGAGGGGCTAAAATTCGGCACTTTGGCGGGGATGATGGGGGAGCAGTCAGATCACAGTATAAATGCCACTGAAATGCTAAGGATTAATACGATGAGCAGCAAAGCGAGAAGCAAAGGGGTATTTTTAGTAGATATTGCTGGCTAAATATAAGAAGAGCTGGTGAGAGGTTCGTCGTGGGATAACTAAGGAAAGCGACAAGACGATGGCCGATGAGCAAGGGATGTCGGCAGTTTTGAAGTGTATCGGATGCGTATTAATACGGCATGTGTTAGGGTTTGCTATGGGTGAGGGGTGTATCATCATTACGAAATAACACGGTATGTATTTTTTAGGTATAACGTCCTCCATCGCATGCAAGTAGATTCAAGTTAATCAGAGGTAGTCTGGATACACACATACCAGAAGCAAAACTAAATGTCTTGCGCAGTTCCTTAGCTATGACGAAGCTCTATGTCTAGAGTAGGACGCAAGGAACAAACCATGGATCGGTTTTGCATAGCAAATTCATTTTAATAGGAAATAAAATAGGAAAATTGAAAGAATCTTTATTATGTATGTTGATTCCATAGTTCCGCTCTTCCCTCTCTCAATAGTCTAGTCAGTCCTCCTAACAACCTGTGCGTCCCTGATGTATGCATGTATGTACAGTAAAAAACCAGCAAAAAAGTTCTACAGTAGACCATCCCTCCCAATTGACATTGAACCCCCCCCTTTCTTTCTTTCCCCGTTCCCCCTCAAAAAATCATATCAAAATTCCACCGCCTTCAAGAAAGCGCCGCCGTGGTCCCTTCACCGGCGCGCGGGGGATACTCCTTCTCGCTGACTTTCGTTTTGGGCGTGCAGGTGCACCATTGGTCGGTGGGGATGGAGTCCATGACGCTGGGAATGTGCTGGCCGCAGCCTCGCCAGGTGGTCTTGGCTGTTTGGGTTCCGAGAGGTATTTGGTTAGCGGATTGGCGGACTGGCTGATTGGAGGGGAAGGGGAATAGAGGAGAGGAGAGGAGAGGGGAGGGGAGAAGAGGGGAGGGGAGGATGGAGTCTGTTTGTGGGTGTGTGTGAGGGTGCATTACTTACAGCAGACAGAGCAGATTGATTGCATGCACATCTTTGTTTGTGTTTGATGTCAAATTATGGTGTTTTGAATCTGTAGTTTGCTTCTATATAGTGGTTAGTTACCAGCTCTTTGAAGGTCAATGAAGGTAGGAACAACTAATTTAACAACAGCCTGTCAAACTCACAATTGTGAAGTCAGATTGTGTAATGTTCTGCTACGCAAATATTGTATGTTCGCAGGGTTGATGCAAGGAAAGGGAAAAGATAGAAGAGAAGATGGTTATCAGAAGCCGGAAATATAGAGCACAATGTGGCGGGGCTCTGCCGGGGTCTAGCGGGGTTCATTGCCTACAATACATCCCCGAGATCCCCGCATCCCCGGCACCGGTTTAGCGGAGAGTTTACATAAATCCTGAGCTCAAATTCGTATGTAGTGAAAATAATCTCTAAATCCATAGCTATATTATCCGGAAGAAAGTCCATTCAATTGCCCTCGAGGGCTCCGACGTTGTTGTGTTCTCGAGCTCTGATGATTTTTGTTGGAGGGGGAATTTACATCTGAAAGAGATGATGTCATATCTTATATCATGCTAACTTAACTTTAATAAACAGATATTTCTGTACTCTGCATGCATTTGTTGTGTGGTCATACAGCAGAATATCGCCACAAGAATGTCTCGGGGAAAGAATTCATCACCATTTTTGAGAGGGAAAGTCACAACATAGAAAGGTGACAAACAATCCACATCCAAAATCAATCCCACATACACCTGAAAATTGCGGGGGACTCTCTGTGAATCCTAAAATGGAACAAAAGAAAGAAACATGCAAAATGGAGTTGAAAGAGATGATGTAGGATAATGAATGCATTGATGATATAAAACTCGTTCCGCCTCATCACAGGGAAAAAGACCATATTTCAATTTCAGCTTTTTCCCCCATCCCACTCCACCGCGCGGTTCCCAAATCACATGCATGTGTTCATATCATTTATATCATTATCAAAAGCCCCATCCCACCCACAGGCCGACACATGTACCGGCCGATCAAACTCAGTTACAAACCGCCAGCAACAAGCACCGCCACAGCCACAACCCCTCCAATGACAGCAACGTACGATCTCTGTCCGGTTGCTGCAGGCATACCACCGGTACTCGACGGTGTCGTTGTCGTGGCCGTCGTCGTCACCGCAGCGCTTGATGATTCTCCACCCGTGGTTGTAGCAGCGCCCGTCGGTGCAGCGGTACCTGTATTTGTACTCGAGGGGTCACCACTGCCACCACTACTAATGGAAGCCATGACCGATGACACCTTCTGCGAATAGTCAGTTGCGCTGAGCGGGATGAGGATGTGGTTCTCGCTGCATGTTGTTGGGTTGATGTCGACTCTGTCGGCTTGGCGGCGGTGGAGCGCTTCGTTGATGACGATGATGTTGTCGTCGCTGTCGTCGATGCTTCTGCGTCTGATGGTGGAAGGGTCTATGCAGCAGATGCCGTGGGCGGTTGGTTTGCCATTGCCGCCGGAGGTGAGGCCGCCGAATAGGGAGCCCGGACAGCAGATGTTGATCTCATTGGTGCTGATGCAGCTGGCGGCAGATGTCAGGGTTGTGTAGAGGGCGGTGAAGAGGAGGAGGAGATGGGGGAGGTTGAGATAGAGGCGGAGAGACCTAAGGGAGGGCATTGGTATAGTTATGTTTCAGTGCTTTGGTGCAGCTGGTAAGATTGGATCTAAAGGGTCTTTCTTCTTGTCTTCTTCAGCCGCAACGTGAGTTAAAGGTAAGTAAGTCACTTGTATGTATGTTTGCGGGACAGCCCAAGCATTCTCGCATATATACGCAGAGAAAAGACGTAACTAGGTCCCATTAAATGCAAGGTAAATAAATAACGGTAGATCCTAGAGGAGACAAAGGGCAAAAATGGGAAAAAGGCATCCGTCGATGCTCGTCGCTCGACCGTCTCTTTATATAGCAAGTTACATGTAAGAAAAGGGAAAAGGGCTGCAGACATATCTCGTCTCCAACAGCCAACGCCAGGCCGAAGTAAAATGAAGGTTACTTCTCCAACATTGGCAGCCAGCAAGTCACATAAACCCTGTCTGTCTATTTATCAACTCCAATAATAGGTAAGGGGGCTTGCTTAAATATTTACTTCCTTCGCAAGCGAAACAGTGTAACCAAAACCACACCACCCAGTCTTAAAATATAACAATTTCCGGCCTCTCTCTGTCCTTCCTTTTGTTTTCCACTGTGCGATGTTTCCCACCGACCCTGGCCTGGAACAGGGCCATAAAACAACATCCGTCACATTCAGCCTCTGCAAAACGTGTTCCCTGTAGCAGCCCAAGTTCCCATGTGCCACACATTCCACCAACGACCAGCCGCCACCCAGCCATATTTCTCATCAGGCTGTTCCTTGTCTCATTTGCTCTCGTCTTGTCTCGACTCGAAAGCCGCGTCCACCCACGGAGAGTTTTCACATGGCCGGTTGGCAGTTAAAAGGAGGGAGGGAGTGTGGGAAGAGAGGGACGTACAAGGGCCAACCAACCCCTCCAACTCCCACAAACACCCACCACACTCCAACCCCAGCTCCTCTAAATCGAATGCCTATGAAGACTGGGGAATGCAATTAACAATGATTAGCATCTGGCCTCCCAGAATGCTGTCGGTGGCTCAGACTGACAGCACAGAGAAGAGGCTTTTTGACTTGCCTCACGTAACATCTAAACACCTGGAAGAAAATCAGAGGGCCCCATCTCACTCTCTTGGCATCATAGATAATATCGAAACCTGGACAGGAAGGAAAGATATGATACGTATCGTTTTACATTATTATTATTCTTATTATTGCCGTTGTTCTCGTTGTTACTTCCCTCATTGGCATTTATAAAAGAACTACCGTCCATTCATGTCTTGCCTGTCTGCATGATCAAGGACCTAACTCCACCATCAAAGCAACGAAGCGAAACGATCACAGGAAAAAAAAAAAAAAAAAAAAAAAAAAAAAGGTGAGTGAAATATTTAGGAGTAAAAGCTGACTAGCAAGATAGCGAGAGAGAGGGGGAGAACGAGAGAGAGAGCGGCGGTCAAGCATGATTGCTGTAGACATGGCCGCCCCGGGGGGAGGGGGCCCATCGATCGAATCGGCCCATCTATGTATGTATTCTATTTACAGGAAGCGGTGGTGGCAACTCCCCGCCATGAGGCTAAACGATAAACAGTCTAGATACAGATGCTGTGTGTGTGTATAAATATGTGTTGAAGGATTGGGGAGGTATGGCGGAGCAGGGTCCAATAAAGAGTAGGCGCAGATAGGTTCGTGTGGAAACCATCAAATTCATCCCTTTTTCTGGTTCTTTGTAATTGTCGTCGTCGTCGTCTGTCAGAATGGGGGAAAAAAATATTCGAAAACAAGCCATCCCCTTCCCTTTTGGTTATGTTTTCGCTTCTGGTCTTTTCTGTCTACTCTCCATTAGTTTGAGAGAGTACCATCTCTCGAAAAACGCCGTTGCAATGGGGTTTATCCCACCAAAAAGAAAGAGAACAAAAGAAAAAAGAAAACCTTAGATCAGACAGGGACACAAGACCGATACACCAAAAATTGCACAGAAGCGAAACGACACCTCCAAGCTCAGAGCTGAATCAAATCCACCTCAGAGAAATCGGGAGGACTCCGACTAAAAATCGCCCGACACCGCCCGTCCAGCGCTTGATACTCATTACTTATCCATATATGCTTGCTCAACCGCTGCGTTCGGAACACCTCATCATCACTGACTCCCAGATCATCCCGAGGGATCCAGATGACGGGTCGTTTCATGCGCAGCGCTTCGTGCTGGAAAGCCCGCTGGACAAGCTGGTCGCGCTCGTCCGGCGTGAGATCTTCCAGCTCATCGTGGATGCCGGAGAATAGTGCTTGGCCAATGGCGTGGGTAGGCGGGGCCTGGGATTCAGCGTCTTGTGCTAGCTTCTCACGCATGCGTTTTATAGTTGGGACGGTGGCGTCGGATCGCCCGCCAAAGAATTTGGAGCGGTTGTTTTTGGACCGATCAGCCCATGAAATGCGCTTTGATTTGCCGGGGATAAGTTTACCGACTTGACGGGTTATTTTCCCTGTCTTTTGCTTTCCGCCCTGGATTCTGTTAAGTTTGATATCGCCCTGCTCGTCTAGCCTTTCGCCATGGTTGAATTCACTGTCCTCGTCGTCATCGCTCTCCTCTTCGTCCTCCTCTTCTAGGCCTAGTTTCCGTCGTTGGGCACGAGCAAACTCTTCATCTCGGCGACTAGCTTCATCCTCCAACGTTATTGGTAGATATCGGAATAACGGGTTGAATGCTTCGTTAAGAAGGTATTGAAAGCCGACTGTCAGAATGGCAACGACGATCATACAGATTGCCTGGCCTTCACAGGCAAAATTCCCCTCTGCATCTCTAACAAGAAAAAACATGCCAATTAGGCAAATTTCCATGACGTAGATGCCAGTGAAAAGTTGGTTGATGGCTTTCGGGAAAAGCAAACCACCCGTGTCGAAGCGGAACTTCGTGACGTATAACGTGTTGTACCGATATACAAACCAAAAGAGTCCGAATGTGAGTACATTGAATACCATGATAAGCGGAGAAATGACGCAATAGATAAGCCCTATAAATATGGCGTTCGTACGTTAGAAAACATGGGTCAAATTCAAGAACGGGGGTTGCAAAAAAAAAAAAAAAAAAAAAAAAAAAATAGTACCGCTTACCTATGGACGCGAGCGTTGTATAGACCGGAAAGAAGGTGCCCCATTGCATTTGGTTAAGGTTGGTTGTCCGCGCCCACTTCATTCTCGCAGTGTTGTCTAAAATCGGGGCTAGTATAAACCAGCTAACGAGTGCAAAAATCTGAACCAATGCACCTGCGCTGACAGACATCGCTTGAAGTACCATGTAGGAAAAGAAATAGTTACTCGCCCGAGGAATATTCTCAGCCAGAAGCTGGGGAATACTTGTCACGTCCGTGATGGAATTGAAAATCGTTGTGAAACCGGACGAAATAGAGACAACAAGGAATATCTGAACGAACAAGAATGCAAAATAATAATTTTGCACTGTTAGCTCGACAGCCATCCCTGTGTGCACGCCTTGGTTCCGGGATAGAAATCGGAGAATTAGCGGCAACAGGGCCATGAGGATAGCAAGAAATAGTGGCGGCAATATACCCTGGACAGCTGAAATCAACCAGTCGGGCATTGAAGCAATCCATCGTAGCCAGGGAAACTTCCCTTCCAGATATGCAAGCTGAGACAGTAAACCCGTAAAAGCAACTGGAAAAGCCCAGCCTATAACCATAGCGACAACAATAATGACCACACCGAATGTTCTCAAGTACCGCTCCCACCATTTGATGGACATATTATCCCAAATGACGTCGTCAGGAGATATTTCTACCAAACGCGGAGCCATTTGTTTTGGGATATGATGGCTCACAGATTGACATGCCATATGTGCAGCCACCTGATGGTTAAATTGTACAAAAGCCGAGTTCATGAGTGGAAATTTCTCCGGGTTCCGCTGATCGACTTCGATTTCGAGGTTTAAGCGGGCGACTTCCTGGCGACAGTGATAGATCTTATCGACTTTCTTACCAAGAAGGGGCAAAGAAGGCATCCATGTCCAGCCAAAAATAGGTAGACGCATAGTTTCACGATCCTTCTCCTTAATATATTTCATCCACAGAGGGTCGCCATAATCGTCTTCCTCGAACTCTTCGTTATACGCCATAGGGTACTCCTGGCCTGCAACCTGGTCGCCTTCCTTAGCAGGAGCATGCTTTTTCAATCGCCAAGTTTTTTTCTTTTTCTTCTCCTTAGTAGACGGAGCGACCGGGGAAGGCTGGGTCAGTGGATACCGGTCGTCATGACGGTCAGGATTGGGGTTGGGGTTTGTTGGTTTCGAGCTTTTCCACAGATTTAACTTCGCTGGACGTGGTGGTTGGTCAGCCGGGCCATCCATCGCAGGGGGTCCTTCCAGATACGTTTCTCCGGAGGATCGAGCCCCGTCCCCCTCAAGGGGGAAATCGGTATTCACTCCACACTGTTGCTGGGCCTCCTCTCGTCGGTTGCCCACAGTGGTTCCAGCTTTCGTCAGACCCACAGCAGGCTTTTCAGGTCTGAATTCAGAGCTGGCGTCATCGGCAGCTCTATCGTTTTGTGTACCTCCAGTACTTTTTCCTACCTCACCATCAAACCCACCAGTGGTTTTAAATCTGCCGTCAACGGTGTCACCAGCCTTTCTGAAACCGCCCAAGACTGTTTTCCCAATCTTTGCTACTCCGGAGCCCACGGCCCCCACCCCGTCACCGACAAGTGGGATAAAAGAACGATTACCACGTCCATCTGGTGCTGTGTTCGATTCTTCCATTCGGCCATGCAATATCTCCCGAATAGTATGAGCCTGATGAGGATCCCCCGAGCTGACTCCAGGTTCCCGAACGAGACGGGAAGCTCTCTGTTCCGCGGCCAGCTTTTCACGATCCATTTCCGCTGAGCTTTTGCCGGATTTTTTAGCCTGAGCCTTGGCTTGTTTAAGTTGCGCCTTCTTGCATTTCTTTATTAGTTCCGTCTCTGCCGACTCAAGCTCCAAAGCGAGTTTGTTGCGTAACTTCACTTTCTCACTCAATTCATCCATATTCCGGTTTATCCATATATTGCGCACACCTCCAGGAAATACATCGAACAGACGATCAAGAGCATCCACGGATAGCCACTTGGGTGGGATGGCAGTCACCAAGACAGTAGTAGCTGATGCACGCAGGCGATGCTGAGGGGATGTCAAATATGCCTGTCGTAGTCTGATATAGCCCCGAAGCTCGTCGAAGAAAACAGCACACGAGTAAACAACGACTATAACAGCCAGAACCAGATGGGCCCAGTAGCGATCTGCATGTTCCGGTGCGATATTACCCCATGCCAGCTGATCCAATCCCGATACATTATAGCGTGTATCGTCCGTGGCCGAAATAGCGCGCGTATCCTTTCCTCCTACTTTGTTCAGGGGTATGAGCAAGGGTAGAATGATGAACGAAAGTGGGACAAAGATCTTCAGGAGCATTCGCAGGTAACGAAGGAAAAAGTAGGCATCCAGGCCACATTTTTGGATGAATTCTGAATTGGACGTCTTGAATACAGGGGCAATCCACCGGAAAAGACCCGGCGGGGAAGGGTCGGTACGTTCTCGTTCTGGCACCAGATATGTTCGCGGTTGGCTAACAAGAAAGGGAGAGCTCAGTCAGTGACATGTACAACATTTTTCCCTGTTGGGGGAAAAAAGGTTTACAGAGGGGAACAAATCACATACTATATCCTCGTCAGCTTTCCCTTAAGCAGCGTAAACAGGAACACTTCAACTGCGAAGACTATGATAGCGGTAACCAGGGATGCCATAAAGGTTGTGATTGACATCCCCGCTGTCTTCTGGCCAGTGCCACTCTGCGCATCTAGCGCAACGGCCACGGTGTCGCTGTTGTTGGAGGACGACATTTTTTTAAGGGAGGGGAAGAATCATAATCCACCACGAACTTCGAGCTGCAGGCACACTATGGATACTCGAGCAATATACGGGTGACCTCAGGCGGGGAGAGGCGAAGAAGACTGTGTTTTAGGGGTTATATTTCACGATTTGGCCGGTATTCAGGTGTGAGAAGTCCCGACTTCACAGACCGGAGAGGGCGTATTCTAGGGACAGGAAATGGATGAAAAATAACAATACAGGAAGGGCAGATTATGTATGTATGTACTTTATGTATGGAATGAGGGATAAGCCAATTGATACAAAGGGAGTGAAAGGGGGAATGAATATACAAGTTTCTTTCACTGGCTGGCGGCTGGAGAATGGAGGTCAAGGAAGCGACTCTCAAAGCCGTGTTTGACTGGGGGGCATAGTGGTATAGAATGGAAGAGGAAAGCAAGCAAGCAAGCAAGCAAGCAAGCAAGCAAGCAAGCAAGAAAGAAGGAAAGGAAGAAAGAAAGAAAGTAACAGGGGAATTAGGAGTCGATAGTCAATATAAACCCCGTATCCTGACAGCCAGAGAATGCGAGAGAGCGAGAGAGAGATGTCGTCAAGTTTGCCATGAAGTTTGTTGGGCGGGCAAACAAGCAAGCCCTTTTTTGATGTGGAGAGTTGTCCGCCGCCAGTCGCCCGTCCCTTTTTAGTGAGGCGCCAGCAGCAGCGCCGGCGCAAATATTATTCATTCATACTGGGCAATCACGAACAGCGGAACAGCGACGATAGCTCTCGCGATTCCCCACCAGCAGAATACAGCGTCGCATGCGCCGACTGGGCGCTGGGCAGTCAGATTCCATCGTCATCGAGCCCTAAAACTTGAAGGCTTGGGGCCGTTTGTTTTCTTCCCCATCCATCGCGATGACCAGGTGGGTCTGTTTTGACTCTTCTCAACCACCAATAATCTTGGACCACAGTGGCAGAAAGGATTTCGGGGAATCAACGAAAAAAGAGAAAAATGGAGAACAAAGTGGCAGAAGGCAAGGATCCCAAAAAACAGGGTTGTGGCTTGTGTCGCCTTACCGCCGCGCTGGGGGTTGTTTTATCCTCTCAGCAAATCAGAAAAGAACTTGGGCAGGATCTTGCAGCGCCAATCACGCGCCTGGGCAGCGTCTGCAGGGCTGTGATCCCAGACAGTCGTTGTTAAAAATGACGTCGAGGGTGAAACGGCCTGAGTGTCAATGCAAAATTATATCCATCCATACGCTGGTTGGAGCTCTGGGTGTGATATTATTAATAGCAAGGCAAGTAACTTTTAGTCTTTGTTGTTCTGTTTATAATAATAGCAGGCGCTTCATCAAGTTCATTATTTACAGGGTTGCAGTGAGAATGAGATTCCAAGCTTAACAGTTGTTTCAAGTAAATATTAGCTATATTAGCTTAACTAGTTAGCACCGCATGGCATGCAAACAGCGTATGCAGTCGTATGCCAGTCCTTGTTGAATAATCTTGTAGACCCCTGATCCTTCACGGTGACATGCGAGATTTCAAATTAAACAACTCATAGCGTATGTCAAAAATTGGAGTAAAGTTACTCTGTACTCCGTAGAGTATAACTAGATCTATTGTGACAGAAACAAATACAACAAATAATAGAAACATTGACTGCATTTGATGCTTCATCTTCCATAATTCGCATCCTCATATCCACCAAATTACCAAATGCGCAACAGACTGTATGCCAAGCCAGTAAATCTTGGCACATATCCACGTGATCATAAATCTGATGTAGAGACACGCTCTCCCAAATAGGAAACCACTTTACGCGTCAATGCCAAACCCGCGTCTCTCCACGCGTCCACCTGCCCCAATCGAAGTTTTTTCCTGCCCAATTCCTCCTTCAGTGAACGACAACGTCACAACTACCCTCCATACAGCGCACATTGACATAGCGATAGATGTCTATGGATGATTGAACTAGCTCACCACTATCAGTCATATCAACTTAAACACAGACCCGTGTACGATGTCGTCTCCTGGTTCTGCTCGCCGTCGTGGTCGACCAGCAAGGAACTCCACAGCTTCAACTCCCTCTCGTCCCAGTGCGTCCCAGCCCCAGCCTCAGACCAGCCCTTCTTCCGCAGCAGATGGTGGACCACAATCGCAGAATGCCTCACAGACTACTCCACGGGCTTCAAGACGACTAAGGGAAGCTGGTGTCCCTTCCTCGTCCCCTTTATTCTTCCGGTCATCCCCTCCGCCTGAGCCTCGACAAGCTCCCGCTAGAGATTCAGGTTCAAGAATGGAGATCAGTTCCCCAGTTAGGGAATCACCAAGCGCTGATGATGTTGAAAGAACTCCCAGAGCAGATGCTCGCCCAATTGGAGGTATATACATCTGTTATGTCTTTCTTAGCGCGAAAATATAACCCAAATGCTAGTAACAATTTAACACAACCATATTTATAACAGACTCCTCACCAATCCGTTACATGTCTAGCTCAAGCCCGACTCGCGCAAATAATCCCCCAACTCGAACAGCCGATATTCCAAGCAGTAGCAGTGGCCTTTTTGTCCGGTCTTCACAATCCATTGGATCAAATGGCGTTCCCAACGTCTCAACGAGACGAGGTGGTATCCATTCCGATGCCTTCGGATCCTCGTCAGGCCAGCGAAGACGAGTATTCGTCGATGAGAATGGCATTCCGGTCCGCGACGGCGAGCCCCATTCAGATGCAACGTTTTCAAATGTGCAGCCAGACACCTCCGAAGCAGACGCCCTTGGTGGGAGTTCTACTCGTATCATCTGGGGCACCAATATCTCCATCCAGGACTCGATGTCAGCATTTAAAAATTTCCTATACAATTTTACCAAAAAATACCGCATGTGGGCAGACGGTGCTTCTGAAGAAGAAACCCGCGCGATGGGTGTAGTAGCTGAAGAAAAAGAATACATCAAGATGCTGAATGATATGCGACAACTGGGTGTAATAGGATTGAATTTGGATATTCGCAACCTAAAGGCATATCCGTCAACCGTGAAACTTTGGCACCAGGTCCAAGCATACCCACAGGAAATTATTCCTATCATGGATCAGGTAGTGAAAGATGTCATGATTGAACTGGCATTGAAGGAAATGGAATCGCTCAGAGCACAGGCCAATCAAAGACGCCAGCCTAGGGCAAGAGATAGCAGCTCAGTACCGCCTGTCACCAGCTCTGATATTGGGAATGAGGCTGGACGAGCCCAACCGACAGAAGTGCCAAATCTGATGACAGACGTGGAAAGCAAGACTTTCAAGGTTCTACCATTTGGATTAGACAAGACAGTCAACATGAGAGACCTAGATCCCGCAGGTGTGCTATATTTGTCTCAACTTTTTAAAGGATCTATTGCTAACATGTTTCTCAATTGCAGACATGGATAAGCTCATCAGCATCAAAGGTCTCGTTATTCGAGCAACCCCCATAATTCCGGACATGAAAGAAGGTAAGTAACAACAATCGCTGCCAGTCCTAGTTTAGTTTTTGGCAACGTACTGATGGTCATTATTTCAGCGTTTTTCCGTTGCGAGACATGTCACTTTAGTGTTACCGTTGACATCGACCGCGGCAAAATCGCTGAGCCTACCAAATGCCCTCGGGAAATTTGCGGAACGTCCAACTCCATGCAACTCATCCACAACCGGTCGACTTTTGCCGATAAACAGGTTATCAAACTCCAGGAAACCCCCGACTCTGTCCCCGACGGTCAAACGCCACATTCCGTCTCGCTCTGTGCATATGACGAACTGGTTGATGTTTGCAAAGCTGGTGATAGAGTTGAAGTAACGGGTATATTCCGCTGCAACCCTGTTCGCGTGAACCCACGTCAACGTACCACCAAGGCTCTTTTCAAGACTTACGTGGATGTACTTCACATACAGAAAACCGACCGCAAGAAGCTTGGTATTGATGCCACGACGGTGGAGCAGGAGCTCGCTGAGCAGATTGCAGGAGAAGTGGAGCATGTCAGAAAGATCACAGCAGAAGAAGAGAAAAAGATAAAAGCAACTGCTGCTAGACCTGACATCTATGAACTACTCTCGCGATCTCTAGCACCGAGCATTTATGAAATGGACGACGTGAAAAAAGGTATCCTACTCCAACTTTTTGGCGGGACAAATAAGACATTTGAGAAGGGCGGTAATCCGCGATACCGTGGTGATATCAACGTTCTTCTCTGCGGAGATCCCTCAACGTCAAAATCTCAACTCCTACAATACGTGCATAAGATTGCACCCCGGGGAGTGTATACGAGTGGAAAGGGCTCGTCCGCCGTTGGTCTCACAGCATACGTTACCCGAGACCCAGAGTCAAGGCAGCTAGTTCTTGAGTCCGGTGCCCTCGTCCTCTCCGACGGGGGTGTCTGCTGCATCGACGAATTCGACAAGATGAACGATTCGACACGATCAGTCCTGCATGAGGTGATGGAACAACAAACCGTCTCAATTGCCAAAGCGGGGATCATCACGACATTGAATGCCCGTACTAGTATCTTGGCCTCAGCCAATCCGATAGGAAGCAAGTATAACCCGAACTTACCCGTTCCACAAAACATCGACCTGCCACCAACGTTACTATCGCGGTTTGATCTAGTATATCTTGTCCTAGACCGCATTGATGAGCAAAACGATCGTCGTCTGGCGAAGCATCTGGTGGGGATGTATCTGGAAGACACACCAGAGAGCGGTGCCAGCGAGGAGATCCTTGTAAGCTGACTTTAATAACACTTCTACGTATGAACGGAACCCCCTTCGCTAACCCTTCATATTCTAGCCCATCGAATTCCTCACCAGCTACATTACCTACGCCAAAAGGAACATCAACCCTGTATTAACGCCAGAAGCCGGCACGGCACTAACGGATGCCTATGTCGCCATGCGCAAGCTGGGTGATGATATCCGCTCCGCCGACCGCCGCATCACAGCCACCACCCGTCAACTCGAATCCATGATCCGCCTCTCAGAAGCACACGCACGCATGCGGCTATCGAGCGAAGTACTCGCCAGCGACGTGGAGGAGGCTGTACGACTGATCCGGTCAGCGCTTAAACAGGCCGCCACGGACGCTCGCACGGGGCTGATTGACATGGGATTGCTGACTGAGGGCACGAGTGCGAGCGAGAGGCGGCTACGGGAGGATTTGAAGAGGGAGGTTTTGAGAGTTGTGGAGGAACTTGGGGGTCGTGGTGCGGGTGCGGGTGGGGCCAGGTGGTCGGAGGTACTGAGACGGCTGAATGAGGGGGGTAGTATGGAGGTTGAAGGGCCAGAGTTTGCGGATGCGGTACGGTCGTTGGAGGCGGAGGGCACTATTAGTGTTGTTGGGGAAGGGGCGAGGAGAAGTATACGGCGGATTGGGGTTGTGTGAATAGTAGGGGAGGTCTGTTGTTTATTGTCACTTTGTTTCGACTCTTTTCATATACTTAACGGGATACGGCATGTTGCAGAAGGGAGAAAGGGGTTACATTTCACTAATGTCGCTGATGTTGTTCTACTACTATACTTCTTATGTTTCAATGAATGGGCGTTTTAACCCTTTTTTTTCCTTTTCTGACTGCATGTTCTTTCCCTCCTTTCTAAGCCATGGACGTAGGTCTTTTGGAACGAACCCATCGAGTAACTACTGTGTACCGTCCGTAGTTAAACAAGCCGATGATGTCATCGCCGTCACGGATATAAGTTAATCCATTCCCCGCTTAAGGTTTTCACGTGTGTACACGCTGTTACCCGCTGATTGGGCCTTGTGTACCGGTTCGCAGATCTGGCTTCTCACGTGACAGTTGACTCAGCTACTCAGCGCTGGGCCCAGGCCCCGAGCACGATCAAATGGCCGTAAATAATTACTCGCGCGGTTGTATTGTGTATGATATGGATGATCTCTTTGCATTCATTGAAATGAAGGAATTGAATTGCTATATATATTTTTACATTCAATGGGTGCAATTATTTTATCTATGTTAATGTATATGTTATGATATTATTATTTGTGTAATGCAAGGTTGCGTTGGATTAAGCTTGAAGCTCCACATCCTGAACATCATCCCAGCCCCCAGCCAGCCTCTTCAGAAGCTCTCTCCTCATTCATTCTCGTCACTCTCCTCTCCTCTCCTCTTCTTCTTTTTCTTCTTATTTTCCCCTCACCTTCCCCCCTTCTCACCAACACAATCCCGCCGTCACAATGAGGTAAAATTTTGCTCCCAATTGACCCCCCCCCCCCCCCCAACTACCCTCAGGACTTACATCAGTCTCAAAATACTAACAACCCGTCCAGATTCGGCCACCAGCTCCGCACCTCCCTCATAAAAGAATACTACTGGCACTACATAGCCTACGATGATCTTAAAGCCGCCCTGAAAACCCCCTACGAATCCACCCCCGCTACCACCCCCGGCGCCTCCACTGATGCTCAAGAAAACGCACCCGCAAAGCCCAAACGCAAGCCATGGACAGAGGAGGACGAGAGGCGCTTCGTCGCCCTCCTGGAGAGCGAGCTGGATAAAGTCTTTACGTTCCAGAAGTTGAAGAGCGATGAGATTGTCGCGCGGATTGTGCAGAGTGAGAAAGAGGTTAATGACGTCGTAGCTATGTTGAGGGCTTCTGTTGGTGGTGGTGGTGGTGGCGGCGGTGGCAGCGGTGGTAGTAGTACTGTCACTGCTGTGTCTGGAGCAAGGAGAGAGTCGCAGATTGGGGGCAGTGGGGCTGATGCTGCTGCTGCTGGTAATGGTGCTATTGGTGGTGCTGCTGCTGGTGGAATAGCTCCCACCGATGAGGATTTCTTGCTACTAGAGGAGGATCTAAGTGATATTATTGCCGACGTGCATGATTTGGCGAAGTATGTGCAGCTAAATTATACGGGGTTTCAGAAGATTATTAAGAAGCATGATGTAAGTCTGTCTTTTTCTTTGGTCCCTTATTCCTTCGGCAGTGCTTTTTGTCTTGATGGGTAACAAGAAATTCCCGTTAACATATCTTTTTTGCGGGGTGTTAGAAACAAACGCAATGGCACCTGAAACCTGTGTTCGCAGCCCGGTTAAAAGCGAAACCGTTTTTCAGAGACAATTACGATGCATTTGTGGTTAAATTATCCAAGTTGTATGATTTGGTTAGGAACAAGGGCGCTCCCGTCACTGGGGATAGTGCCGCGGGTGGATCGCAGCAGAATTTCATCCGGGAGACAACTAAGTATTGGGTGCATCCAGATAATATTACAGAATTGAAACTCATTATTCTGAAGGTCTGTTTGGCGTTCTTGTGACCCGTTTTTCATTTTTTCGTTATTCTGTGTCTCCGCGTGTCGAAACTAACAACTTTGTAGCATCTTCCCGTTTTGGTATTCAATCCTAGGAAAGAATTCGATGAACGAGATTCAGCTATCTCGTCTGTCTACTACGATAATCCCAATACCTGGGAGCTGTATACGGGGCGGCTGAAAAAGACTGAAGGAGCAGAGGCGATCCGACTACGATGGTATGGCGGGATGGAAACTGATCAAATTTTTGTAGAGAGGAAAACACACCGAGAGGATTGGACCGGGGAGAAGTCGGTCAAAGCGCGGTTTCCGATTAAGGAGAAATATGTAAATGCGTTCTTGTCTGGGGAAATGACTGTCGAAAGTGTCTTTGAGAAAGCCAGGAAAGATGGGAAGAAGAGTGAGCAACAGATTGCTGATTGGGAACAGCTCGCGCGGGAGGTACAGTATCGTGTAATTACGCGGAAACTCGAACCGGTTACGAGATCATTTTATCATCGGACTGCGTTCCAGCTTCCTGGAGATGCGAGAGTGCGGATATCATTGGATACTGAACTGACCCTGATCCGAGAGGACAATATGGATGGCCGCATTAGGTCTGGTAATAATTGGCGGCGAATGGATATTGGGATCGACTATCCCTTTCGACAACTACCCGCGCAAGATGTCGAGAGGTTTCCCTACGCTATTTTGGAAGTGAAGCTGCAGACGCAAGCTGGTCAGGACCCTCCGCATTGGATCCGGGAGTTAATCTCCAGTCATCTAGTGGAAGCGGTCCCCAAATTCAGCAAGTTTATCCATGGAACTGCAAATCTATTCCCTGACCATATTAACCTACTCCCATTTTGGATGCCGCAAATGGACGTTGATATTCGAAAGCCCGTCACCCGCGGCTTCGGCATCGAACGACCTGTCCAGGCTAGTCCATCGACAAGTGAAACGGTGATTGACGATGACTATGACGATGAGTCCGACGAAGAAGGCGACGGCGACAATGAACCCGAATCGCGCAACGGAGTCCATCCCCACCAAAATGACCGCCCACCAACATCCCTGAGCGAAGCCAACGGCATCCATTTCCAATCCCCGCAACCCCACCACCAAGGCGAGGGCGAAGACGACCCTTCCCGGGACCCAAACATCCCCGATGCCACAGGAAACGCTCTCGACATTGAAGAGCGTATCGCAGCCCAGCAAAATGTCATTGATATCGGCGGTGATGACTACCCACTCTACGACTCCGAAGACGAGTCGAGCGGGCAGGACGATCTCGAGGAGGCAAGGAAAATTGGCGGTTGGTATTATCGAGTCAAACTGGCGAAACATTATCTGCGCGCTGCGGGTAGATCTGCCCTGAATGCCGCAATGTTTATTGCCCCCGTCCCAAGACCGACAGCAATGCCGGTCGATAACGGCGTCAGGGGTGTGGGGAGGTTCATGCCGCCTGGTGAAATGCAGATTAAGCGGTTCAAGGCGCCAAAGGGGAAACGTAAGTTTATGTTTTATGATAACTCTCCCTTTTACTCTTCCCTTTTTAATTATTATCGTCCAAAAATCAAATCCTCCTATTAACCCAATCCCGTCTTCCCCTCCGTAACAGGAATCCACGTCCCCGTCCGCGTCGAACCAAAAGTCTACTTCGCCGCCGAACGCACCTTCCTCTCCTGGCTCGAATTCTCCATCATCCTCGGCTCCATCGCCGCCGCCCTCCTCAATTTCGGCCGCGACACTGTCACCCTCGCGTCGTCGTGGGCGTTTACCGTTCTCGCCTGCTTGTCGCTCATGTATAGCTTGCTGTTGTATATGTGGCGGGTTGATAAGATTCGAAAGCGGAGGGATGTGAAGCATGTTTATCATGAGAAGTGGGGTCCGACGGTACTTTGTGTGGGATTGCTAGTGGCTGTTTGTATTAATTTTGGGTTGAGGGTTAGGAGTGGGGGGTTGTGAGGGTGTGACATGTGTTGCAGATCTTCTACTTTTGAAATCGGGTATAGGGAAAAGCAGAGTGCGATGGCTACGTGGGAGGACATAGAAATATATATATATATATATATATATATATAGAAGACTTTACTTTGTTACTGGCGAATGTGGAGTTTTCTGGTTGCATTGATGAATTCCTCCTACAACCAGCCCCAGCCCACTTCTTTTGGAGCTTTCCTTTTTGTCTTTTATTCTTCTTCTCTTCTTCTTTTTTTTTTTCTTTTTTTTCTTTTTTTTTTCTTTTTTTTCTTTTTTTTTTTTTTCGCTCTGTAGCCCTGTCCAATCTGTAACCATTTTGCATTATGTACTGCACATATCTTTATCTACCTACGAAAGCGTCTACGGAGACGCATCTGATGTATAGCATATATATGAATGACTAGCTCATGACGAAAATGGAGAACACAACAGCCGGCTACACCATGAAACGTGGTTGTATTACATCTATTTTCATTTTCTTTGCTTCTCTTCATGTTTCCTTCCTCCCAATGTCACTACTCTCCAGTCGACAGGGAGCCAGGACTCTCTGCCCACCATCCAAAACAAACAGGTCCAACAAATCCAGGCAGGAAGCAGAAAACTTGACCTCGCTAAGTGCGCCACTTGACCTCGTTATGTAAGCTGACCTCGCAAAAGTGGCCCGTGCCACTACCTGACCTCGCTCAATACATCTTTTCTTGTAATTTGAAACCACTCTTTCTTTCTTAATTATTTACCATCAATTCTACAATCAATTCAAAATCAATTTAAAATCAATTTAATACTGAAATTATTCTTGAATTTAATAATAAAGTAAGTATTTAAATAATTTACACTGAATTGATTATTAACTGATTTTCAATCAATTATTAATTACTTAAATATACAGATTGAATTTATTTTATTACTATAATTAATTAACAATTAATTTAGAATCAATTTAAAATCAATTCAAAATCAATTTAATACTGAAATTATTCTTGAATTTAATAATAATACTGAATTGATTATCAACTGATTTTCAATCAATTATTAATTATTTAAATATATAGATTAAATCTATTTTTATTACTATAATTAATTCAGAATCAATTCAAAATCAATTTAAAATTAATTTAAAATTAATTATTAAATATTTTTATCTTGATATATTTTAAAATTCTGTAAAATATCTCTTTATATTTGTAAGAAATTCCACTTCTTGCAGATTCTTTATCTCTATTTCTATCTCTTGCATAATTAATAGAGCTAGCAGCTCTTGACTACACACAACTATATAGACTGAAGTTCATGAATACTATTCATAACTCAGCTTGAATGCTATTATACATTTAATCTCTACATTTTATCTTTCTACTGTGAATACTTCTAGTAGTTAACAGTATATATCATGTCAAGCTGTAAATACCTGAATAATCATCTATAAGCACTTATTCTTACATTTCAAGCTCAGTCAGTCAGCAATCACTCATTATAACTGAAAGAACTAGAAACTTATATACTTTAATCTCTGTGAACTCTACTACAGACACTCAGAAGTAGTTATCTGAATTATGAATAATCTTTATAAAAGAAGTCTCAGAGAACTTATTAATTACTTATAGAACATCATTCTCTGTATCTATGATAGAGAAACTCTCAGAACTTATAAATGAATTAATTTCAGTGAAGAACATTCTTAAGCATCTCTTATGAAATCAAGCTATTTTTCTATAAGAAATGCTTACTGTCTGTAAACACTCTCAAACTGAGTCTCTAGATATGATCTTTAGAGATACTCATGAACTGAAAAGAAACTTTCTTAAGCTGTGATCACTTAAGATTATCTATTAAATCACAATCTATAAAAGCTTTTATGAGTTTGTATTTAAAATTGACTCACAAGCCCAGCTGTGTGATATGAAAGATGAAGAAGCTGTTATCTATATAATAACAGATCTCTATTACACTGAAGTTAAGAACTGACTGAATTATCTAGAGAATGATTATAAGAGATCTCACTGATCTGTTCTTAAAATCTATCTAGAGAATAAGTTAAAAGACTCTGTGAGCTGAACAGAGAATATCTGAACTGTAATCATTAATATTAGAAAAAGAGATAAGAAATCTGATAAAGACTACTCACAGCACTTTATAAAATTATAATATAAATTAAGATCTGTGAAAACAGAGCTCTGAAATAAGATCTGAATAATAATATTCATGAAGAGACTGAATAAAAATATGCAGAATAAGCTTATTAAGTAAGACTTTAAGTTCTTAACTCTGAAGAAACTAATAACTCTTATTCACTACTTACAGATCACTGTGAGAGTCACAGATCTGTAGAGAGTAGATCACTGACTGACTTCATAAGAGTCAGAATAACAGAGAACAGATTTATTAGAAAAAGATAATAAGATATAGAGAGATTTATATCTGACTACTAAGTAAAGAGAGAGAGCTTTATAAGCTCTTATAAACAGAGTATATAATAGAGAGATTAAGAAAAAGAGACTCTGCTTTATCTATTCTAAATCAGAACATCTCTGTGCAAACTGTTCAGATAAATTAAAATAGAAATTTAAGAAGTTATAAACAGAGTTAGTAACAGTCTTCTTAAAAGTCTTGAAGCTGACATCTGAATCTGTTGCTCTCTCAATGAAAATACTTGCTTATAGAAAGAGATTACATCACAGTACTACTGCTCTATAAGTATGAGAAGTATTAATAAACTTAGAATCTCAGATCACTGTGATGTTTCTAAAGCTTATAGAGTGAATAAGCTGAAAGATGAAGACTGAAAACCTGCTCTTATAATAAGCAGAGTGTGAGAACTCAGATCTGAGAACTGAGAGACTTATAAGAGTTATCTTTGAATTATAAGATCTCTCTGAAATCTGAAGAAGATTTATAAAAACTGTGATTATCACAGACATTATAGAGAACATGTACTTAAGACTTGTATAACTTCAAAGATATAATTCATACATAGCTGTTTATAAGTCAGGTTTATACTTCTGATCAGTGTTGATAGACTTACTTATAAAGATAGAATCAGTTGATACTGCAGAGTTAATCAGAGAAGATAAGCTCATTTATATAATAACTTTACAAGTGTCTGAGAATCTTGCAGTCATGAAAACTGAGCTTCAGATACTAGAGAAATACTGAGATCTTACAGAGATATTCAGCTCAGTAAAGACAGCTGAGCTTTCTTCTTATCATGAGAAGAATCTAATAATAGATTTAATAGAAGAGTAGAAACTCTTCTAAGAATCAATCTATAAACTCTTTTATTATAAGACAGAGATCTTGTGAATCTATATGAAGAAGAATTTAAAGAATGACTTCATTTAATCTTCACAGATCTCTGTGAAAGTCTCTGTGATATTTATAAAGAAGAAGAATGAAGATCTCAGATTATATATAGACTATTATAATCTGAACTTTAAGATAATAAAGAGTTACTACTCTCTATCTCTGATCAAGAATGTAATTAACTGTCTTATAAGAGCTGTCATATTCACATAACTAAATGTAATCAATATATATACACAGCTGTGAATATAGTCTGAGAATGAATAAAAGACTGTCTTTAGAACTGTACTGAGATTGTTTGAATATCTAATGATGTCTTTTAATCTGATTAATATCTCTATAATATTTCAGTCTTTTATCAATAAAACACTTCATGTATATCTGAATGTCTTTGTGATAATATATCTGAATAATATGATAATGTACTTTATGAAGAAGAAAGAACATACTGAGTATATATAAAGTATGTTGAAGATCTTAGATAAGACATAATTGTATATTAAGCTTATGAAGTGTAACTTCAGTGCTCACTGAATTAATTTTCTAGAATATGTAATTATCACAGATGATATTCAGATGAAACCTTTATAAGTTAAGACTATTCTATCATGATCAGAGTTAACTAGTATTCATGAGATTCAGATCTTTTTGAGCTTTGTGAATTTCTATAGACAGTTTATCTTTATATTTATAAGAATCTTCTTGATTCTTACAGACATGCTGAAGAATGAAAATAAGAAGAAGTCATTCTATAAATGAAGAATGAAAAGATTATTGAGAAGAGAGAACTGTGAGAACTTTCTTATCTCAGAAGCTCACAGAGTCTTTATAAGATTAAAATAGATATTTATAAACACAGTGATACTATTTCACTTTAATCTCTTACTCTTAATTAGATTAAAGACAGATATCTTCTTCTTTACAATTTCAGAAATAGTCTTATAACTATAGTTAAATAAAAACTGAGTTTCAGTGATCTTTTTCTCATAAAAAATACAATCTGTAAAGATCAACTATGATATTTATAATCAGAAGCTTCTTATAATAGTGAAATTCTTCTGTCACTGATATCACTACTTTGAGAGCCTTATAACAGTGATTACTATTAGAACTGATTATAATAGCTTATAACAGTTTACTTCAATCAAGAAACTCTCACAGTAGCAGATTCACTGAGCTCAGAGACTGAGTGAGTTCTGATTCAAGATAAAATATATCAAGAAAACTAAGAATTCAGTGAACAGACTCTCTTACAGATCAGACTATATTAAGAAGACTAGAACAACAGACATAGAGAGACTAGAGAAGACAGAAAAGCTTCACAGAATGCTCAGACTGAGTGTTATAAAGAGATTAACTGAAGAGTCTCTCAATTCTCTATAAGAGAAGAGAGAAGAGAGAGAGAAGAAGCCTGTATAACTACTCTTTATAACACTGAGAGTTAACACTCTGAAAATCTCTGTAAGAATTCTTGAAGAGAGTATCTATAATCTGAAGAATTTATGAGCTTTGAGAAGCACTGTGAAAGATCTGATGTAAGAGAAAACAGAGTATAAGTCTTTATAAGATCTTCTATTCAGATTGTCTGAACTGCAATTGAAGAATGAATATACTTAGTATATTCAGAAACTGCTCACAGCAGGAATTAATCCTGTAGAAATAAAGAATTGAAGAGACTTAAATAATCTCTTATAAAGAGAGAGCTGAATTTATATATCTATAAATGAGTTTCTATATATAGAACTTATTAAAAGATATCATAACTCTTCTCTAGCAGATTATTTTACAGATACTAGAA